TCTGTAAATGAAGGGTGCACACTATTGCTGAAAAACACAATCACTACTTAGTCAGATGTCCGTATGCACAAAGGCACAGATCCCTAAACAAGATCATATCTGCAGATGAAACATTTTTTGTAGAAGCATTTTTTAAATTTGAACTAGCACCTCATGACTAATCTACGTTATGTACAAGAAGCTGCAAAAGACACAGGCACAAGCGGAAATGTACAAAACATGGTGACGTTAATTTTAAGTAAATATGTGCGATATATTGCGTCACCAAAAATGATTGAGGTCATGTACATATATTGCGCGATAAGTCGATATATTGATTATTGCGACGGGCCTAATGAATACTGTATAATTAATTCATTATATATATTAGTATACCATATATACTATAGTATGTGTATATATATATATATATATATATGGGGAAAAGTGACCCGAGCAAACCATACAGGATCCTTCCTCTCTGAATTGACTGGCAGCTCTCTATTGATGACCTTTAATTCATATGCGTTTTGCTGCTTTACAATCCCAGTGGTCTTGTCCTGCATCCCATTAACATCGGCTACAAAGAAAAGGGCTGTTCCTATATCGGGCTTCGCTTATGCAGTCTAGGCTGTTACCCCTGAAGGTCACGGCAGATGTGAATCCTATAGGGCAGCACGGCAGAAAACAGTGAATGCAAAGTAGCTTCATCTCCAATGCCAGCATGCTGTTTGAAACACTGTGAAGAAATCAGTGCATCTGAAATGAGATGCGACAGAGATCAGATGTGGTGCATTACACTAGGCGCAACACCAAACAGATTGTGTACCACAGAAATATTACTTTACTTAAGCCCTAACACTGACATGAGCTACAAACAGAGATAGATAATCTATTGAGAAATATATAAATAAATAATAAAGTCAAAATTTTTTTTTTTTTATTTGTAATATTTCCTGTAAAATGAGAATTGGAGCAGTTAGGGCTGGCTGAAATACTGAAAAATATACATATCTTGATATTCTTGATAACCATCATTAAACAGCCACCAAGATATAAATATAATATTTGTGTGCTGCAAATGAAATAAATCATTTTGAATCGATTAATTGAAACTGACAAAAGAATCAACCTTGGAAATACCGCATTTGCACATACCATATTTGCGTAGGGATGCACTGATATTAAAATTGTAATATCAAAAAGCTGATTATCAAAAATACTAAGCAGCACAACTGTTTTCAACATTGCACCAAATCAGCATATTAGAATGATCATTAGAATGATCTTCTGAAGGATCACATGACACAAAAAACTGGAGTAATGATGCTGAAAATTCCACTTTGCATCACAGGAATAAATTAAATTTCTAAATATACTAAAATAGTATAGACTGTTATTTAAAAATGTAATATTATTTCACAAAATGACTGGTTTTACTGTATTTTTGATCAAATATATTCAGCTTTGGTGCCTTTAAAAAAAAAACAACAAAAAAAAAATGTTGAACGATAATATTGCTAGCAAAATCATCATGATATATCTTTATTTTCCTAACTGGTTTTGAATCAAACGTGGCTTTAATAAGCACAGTGAACCTTTTAAATTTATAGCAAATGTCATCTTTAATCTTGCTTTTCCCAATTACTTCCAAAACAACAGCAAAAATATTATTGGGCAAGGATACATAAAATACAAAATGTCCCCGACAATATGAGCACAGCCTCGTTTAACCGCTAAAATTGTTTCAGGAACACCTTACACAGCATCAGTGCGTGTATGGTACATTTCCACGAGTCCTTTCAACGACTGCTCAAAAAAATCATTATGTTTTACTGTATAATAACACAGAGGCTAAGCAAAAGCACATTGGTGAAAGCGACAGTGAACGAGGAACGGCTCAAAATTGGTACGATATTACTATTTTATTCCGTCTTCCTCAGGCGGCTATCTGTGTCTCCTCGGTGAGCTGTCCCTGCTCCTCTCGTCTTTCCTTCTGGACTCTTTGTATCTGTCAGAATGCCTGTTCTCTTTGTCCGCCCTCTCCAAGCTGTTCCTGTACGAGTCCCTGGAGTCGATCTCTTTGCGGCTCCTCTCTAGTGACTTTGACCTGTCCCGGCTCCGCCGCAGAGGCTCCTTCTCTCTGCTTCGGCATCTATCTTTGTCCTTGTCCGCTCTGGAATTTTTGCCGTCGTCCTTGTGCCTGCGTGAATCCGGCTGTCGGTCTTCGTGGTCCTGAGCGGACCTGTGGTGCTGCTGCTCCTTATGTCCTCTCCCGCGCTCCGGTTCTCCTTGTTGTCGAGCAGGGGGTGACTCGTCCTCATGTTCCCGGCGATGAGAATCTCTGTGGTGTTTGTCGGATCCACGGCGGTCCTCATTGCTGCCGTCTTGCCGCCGGTTCTCATGTCTCTTGCTGGGCTGTTCCTCCAGAGGAGATCGCTGGTTTGCTGCCTTGCTGGACCTCTTCTTCTCCTTGTTCTTGTCCTTTTTCTTGCCCGAGGTCTTTTTCCGCCTTGAGTCGGAGTCTGTGAAGGGGGCTGTTCCTCCAGAGGAGATCGCTGGTTTGCTGCCTTGCTGGACCTCTTTTTCTCCTTGTTCTTGTCCTTTTTCTTGCCCGAGGTCTTTTTCCGCCTTGAGTCGGAGTCTGTGAAGGGAGAGAAGAACTTTAAGTATTCAGTAGAAATGAACATAATGAAAAGGAATTGAAAAGTATTGTGGTTCCGATTGCACTTTTGTGATTACATATTGGCCTTAGGGGCCATTCACACAGAAATGGTTTTTCCATTTTAATGTGCTACTTTTTCATTGTTTTTCTATGTAAAAACACGTGCAGCGTCTCGCACATGAGCATCGTGTTTTTAAGACACCGTGTCAAGTTAAAAGAATTTCCAATTTTACACACAACACAGCTCATCAATGTCAGTTCTAAAACAATGGACCAATCAGAAGACCCCGGAGGCGGGGCAAGTGGTGCAAGCTTTTTTTTTTTTTACAGTAGCAAGTTGGCATGGCATTCCTGAGTGACAGATCTTTTCTTCCATATTATGACGTACATTTGTGATGAACATTTTACATACACTTTGCAGTATCAGCAAAATGTTAATTATTTGACCAAAATAAGAGGGATCATACAAAATGCATGTTATTTTTTATTTAGTTCTGACCTGAATAAGATATTTCACATAGAAGACATTTACATATAGTCCATAAGAGAAAATAATAGTTGAATTTATAAAAATGACCATGTTCAAGAGTTTACATAGGCTTGATTCTTAAAGGGGTCATATGATGCGATTTCAAGTTTTCCTTTCTCTTTGGAGTGTTACAAGCTCTTGGTGCATAAAAGTAAAGAGAATAAAGTTGCAAAGACTAAAGTCTCAAATCCAAAGAGATACTCTTTATAAAAGTTAAGAGTCAACCACGCCTACCTAAAACGGCTCGTTCCAACACGCCCCCACATATCTACCTCACTATGTGGAAATATTAGCATAATGCTGCCCAAATGTGCACGCAAAGAAAGGCGGCGTGGTTTCAGGAACAACAGCAGTGTTGATGCAGCCATGTCAGGGAGACGCTGTGTGTTTCAGTGCAAAAGCAAAAGCACTTTATTTGGCCTTCCGGAAGTAGATGCAATTAGGAATCATTAAGATTTATTTACAACAGAACAGCACAACCCAGATGCTCGAACTTGTGCAACGCATTTTATGGACGACAGTTTTTTGAACCTAGAAGAGTACAAATCTGGCTGTGCACAAAGGCTATTTCTAAAAAAAAAAAAAGGGTCAATTCCGACTTTGCTATGACAATCTGGCGCTTCTGAATCAGCGACTGTAAGTATGTTTTGTGATTAGTTTAAGTATTTGCTATTGACTGTTCAAATGAGGAGTTTTGCGTTCATGAGTCCCGTGTTTGTCCTGAACAGTTAAACTGCCCGCTGTTCTTCAGAAAAATCCTTCAGGTCCCACAAATTCTTTGGTTTTACAGGATCTCTTGCATACTTGAACCCTTTTCAGCAGTGACTGGATGATTTTGAGATCCATCTTTTCACACTGAGGACAACTGAGGGACTCATACACAACTATTACAGAAGATTCAAACGCTCACTGATGCTCCAGAAGGAAACACGATGCATTAGGAGCCAGAGGTGAAAACTTAATGAATTTGAAGATTATTTTGTCTTCTGGGAAACATGTAAGTATCTTCTGTAGCTTCTGAGGGGCAGTACTAAATGAAAAAAATATGATATTTAAGAAAAATAAGAAAAATGTACACATCTTCATTCTGTTCAAAGGTTTACACCCCTGGCTCTTAATGCATCGTGTTTCCTTCTGGAGCTTCAGTTCTGTGCACCAGTTGTTGATTGGATGAAGGCAGATCTGAATGCGAGCTTGCAGCAGATTTTAAGAAAGATTTACGTGGATGAAATGATTGGACAAGCTTGGTGTATGTCAACAGAGAGAAGTCTGTTGTTTCACTGGAAGTTAAACTTTGATTCAAACTTTGATTTGAAAAAAAAAAAAAAAACTATACATAGATAAATCATTCACAATAAGACCAGTAACAATGCATTTAGATGAATTTCATGCTGACTTTAAGTACATAAAACACAGTGACAGTTCAAAACAACTCAGATGATTCTAACTAATAATTTAAGATTTGAGATAACTAATTTTTTTGCGATTCATGAGCGGTGTGTGAGATTTTGAGAACCTGCAGCACTCATCCTGACCTACTTCTATAAAGTCAGTAAGATCAAACCACTAACTTGTTTACACCTAAAAAAAAAAAAAAAAAAAAAAG